TATCTACAGACTACAATTTATATAATATATATATATATATATATATATAATATATAAAATTAATAATATATATATAATATATATGTTATGTGTGTGTTGGTGTGTCGTTGTGTGTGTGCGTGTGCGTGTGCGTTGTGGCGTGTGCGTGTGAGCTTTGCCCCGAAGTGATGCGTTTGTATCGGACTCTCTAAATCTACACACACACACGCACGCACGCACGCACGCACGCACGCACGCACGCACGCACGCACGCGCGCGCGCGCACACACACACACACACACACACACACACATATATATATATAATATAATATAATATAATAACTATAATAACAGTAGCGACTTTTCTTTTTTCTGACCAAGTTCGTTTCCTTCTTATTTAGGGATATGAATCCCATGACAACTATAATTACAGAGACCCCAGATGATAATTATCTGTACAGGATATCGTACATGTGGTACACGATGATCAGTGTCATAGTCTGTACACTGGTTGGTGTAGCAGTCAGCTGTGCCACAGGTAGGTAAACTCTCTTATAAAACATATAATTATACAAACACAAGAACGTTCATCGTAACGGTATTTAAATGTATCGACGTGATGCCAAAGTGCGATAAATCTGTCACTATACCCAAGATCTACCATTTGCGCCACATTATTATGCTCAAAACATGTTGTGACGTCACAGCCATGCCACTATTGTATTGATGCCACTAGGTATAACGATCTATTAACGATGGCGTCTGCTTGCGTCCTGACAGGCAGAAACAAGAAACCGGCGATCGCGCGCCTGTTTTGGCCACCGGTGCTAAGATACTCGTGTTTCCTCCCTCCGATCATAGCAGTCGAGGAAAAGAAAACGGTAGGATAATGCCTATAGGTATAGCTGGATCGCTTTACAAGTTCGCAGATATTTTCGGGATGCAAAAGATCTAAAGAGCATTTCGGTGCATTGTATTCAGTCGGTTCAATAGCTGCACGCAGCGGCAGAGAAGCGATTGACTCTCTTTGGAGCGAGGAAATCGTACTGTTTAGCTGGGAGCTTCTCCACTCAATATCGCAACTGCACTTCGTATTTACTGGTCCCTTGCATTGTCGTGACGTTGCCAATATCTGTGTGTATAATAAGCGAGTTTGTAGTTAGCCAAGGGATTGTGTGACGTCACAGGTCACGGGGTCATTTGCGACAAAAATCGGTGAAATCTCGAGTGCGGTGTGCGCTCTCGGTTCAGTACGTATATGTCCTTGTATTCTGTGTACGCGCACACGGACGCGTGTACACGCAAGCACGCACACACGTGTACGTGCACACGCACGCACGCACGCACGCACGCACGAACGCATGTGTACGTGCACACGCACGCACGCACGCACGTGTACGTGCACACGCACGCCCGCACGTGTACGTGCACATGCACGCACGCACGCACGCACGCACGCATGTGTACGTGCACACGCACGCACGCACGCACGTGTACTAGCAGACGCACGCACGCACATGTACGTGCACACGTACGCACGCAAGCACGTGTACGTGCACACGCACGCACGCACGCACGCACGCACGTGTACGTGCACACACACGCACGTACGCACGTATACGTGCACACGCACGCACGCACGAACGTGTACGTGCGCACGCACGCACTCACGCACGTGTATGTGCACACGTGCGCACGCACGCACGTGTACGTGCACACGCGAAGACTGTAGCATTACAACGACACAGATGCATGCGTATGTGGAGGCCTGCTGTGCGGTCGAAATACGAAATGTTTTTCACAAATGACCTAACCCGGAAGAATTTGTGGCAAAGTTCGCGCATGCGCAGACTGTTATTACGAACTCGCTTCTTATACTCAGCCTATGTCGCTGCTCGCTGTCAGTTGCCGCGAATAACGAATGAATAATTCTGCTCTCATGACAAGAAGAGAAGGCGATGGATGCTGGTAGGTCAGGAAACATGAGTGAGCATGCAGTTGCATATTATACGCATAATGCGTATTCCTGCTGCTGCAGTTTCAGGTAACTGACATCGTTTCTGGTTTATCGATCAATATCTATGAAAACCCCGTCAGTTATCACCGTTGAAATGGCGATTGCAACAATTCCATACATACCTTCTCATTCTGTCTACTTCAGAATATGACAGGAATTACTTACAGAGCGAATGAACTGCCGGAAAAGGAGCCATTGAACAATACACCCGTCTGATGACGTGTACGATGCGACACCAAAACAAATAAATAGTAAAATAAATATATATATATAAATAAAGAAATAAAGAAATATATATATATATATATAGTAGAAAAGTTCTTGGTTTCACGATATTCGTTTAATATTAGAAAAGATAATCCGACATCCCGTTATACACTAGCGCTTTCATCTTTCGCACGATGAAAGATGAAAGATGAAAAATGAACGATAAAAGGAAAGATGAAAGCGCTAGTGTATACCGAAATGTCGGATTATTCTTGTTTCAAATAAATATATACATACGTACGCAACATACTATCACATCATTTCAATCCACAGTCGCGCTATGTCATCTGCATGTCAGCATACTAGCCAATTTGCTTTGTGATGATTGTAAAATTATATGAAAATTATGTCTAACGTGTTGGCCTTGCCTTAGTAAGAATATATGTCACTACAGTAATTACGAGCTGTGCAATTTGAAGTGAGCTTGACACGCGACAATTCTGTTAGTATAGTGTAACGAAATGTTGATAGATGCTGTCCGTCCACTCATCCTGTCTCGCAACGCCAGTTACGCGCTCATAAACGCAAGGGTGAATTGTACAATAATGCTGAGCATTTATTTGCATTTACTCGTTTAATTAAGTAGTGTTTATTATTGTATCGGAGATATTGTGTGAAAGTTGAACTGCCTTGGCGGTGTGCTCTGTAGACTCATCTGGTACATGCATAATATGCACACGAATGTTCTGGCGGTGTACAGGCATATAAACGAGTACAAATACAGGCTGTTTTTATCACAGCTTCTAGTTTGAAGCTTAGACTCAGCTGGTTGTTGTTACCGGTGGTTGAGAGTAAAAGCAGGTGTTCTTAGACACTAGCATATATGGCTGCACTTCTGCTCGGTGTTTGAGTTTTCGGCGCAATAAACCGTGTATTGCGTTTCGGGCAGCCGTGCCTCGGCTTTCTGGTGCTGCGCAATAATCACCACATGTTGCGCCATCGATGTCTGTTAGATAGCGCCTTTGTGTGAGCCGCGCGACACGTGGGGCTGGGCAAAGAACTGCTTGCGCGGGCAATGCACGCGCTCCAGTGCGCGCGCCGCCGATTCGATTTGTCGGCCGAAGCCTTTGCTGCAGCCAGGCTGCGGCAGCGGGAACGGCTTTTCGCCGTTGGCATGCGCACATGCACCTTCAGCACCAATTGCGCCGGAACAAGTTTTACCGCAGAACCAGGCAGCGGTGTAGGC